AAATGGCTCCCCAAAACAGCTTAAACTGGTGGTCTCCAAAATAGTGCCCTCATCAAGTGGGCCCCATGGCAATTCCATTGATTTCCTTCTGGTCGCCTTTAAGTATCAACCTAGGGAAACGGCCAATCTTGGAGCTTTCCCTAGGTTGAGACACACCCAAATACCCACCGACACAAGTCCACCATGAGTTGGACCTGTGGGACCTGAGCCCTGGGGCCTCGAGGTGGCGCTGGTGTGAAGCCGGCAGTCCCGTTGACCTACAAGGATATCAGGCGCTTCCTTCTGCCTGGCGCGCCTGGGTTCGCATGAGTTTTTTTTCTCATATATTTATTTATTTATTTAACGTGTGGCACAAGTGGTCGAAGGGGAGCAGTTGTTTTGTGGCACAAATGGGCTTGTTTCGAAGGGGAACCCCAACTGCCAGGTTTGGTTTGTGTTTTTTTTGTGGTACAATCGGGCTTGTCTCGAACAATATTGCAGACCCAAACGGCACAGAGGATATCGCCAACATCCTTGGCGGCAATGCCGCGCGCTCAGAGGCCGAAGGCTTGAGAGAGAGAGCGCCTGTGAAGGATTTGCCCGCATGTGATGGTTTTCTTTTGGCTGAAAGCCGCAGCAGCTGTTGCCTTTTATCACACTTGTGCTTCCTGACTTTTGCGGCTGGGGTGCTGAATTTGAGTGCACTGGCATGAGAGACCTGCTTGTAGAGAAACCAAGTCAGGATTGATCTATTCACAGTATTTGCGACTGGATGGGATAGGAATGGAGGTGGAGGTGTTTGTTTACGTTGAATGTTCAGGTCTCATGCTCAAAGGAGATGTTTGGCCGGTCACATGGAAAGCGGCAAGTGCTTTCTCATGTGACGGCGTCTTTAGCTGAGGTCTGGGGGCATTGTGGACTGATCATCAAGGCTGATGAGGCAGCAGCAATGACTGCCATGAGCATGCCCCCCCGCTCATCTATGTTTAATAGATGCTCATCTGTGTTCAACAGACTGGCTCCCGATTTGATGGCGACCTTCAATTGGGTCGATGTCCTGATTCTTCCAATCAGGACTGGGTGGCTTTGGTTGAGATTGCAAGATTCCGGCGTCAGGTCTACCGCTTCCCCGTTCTCTATGGGAGAGTTCCCATTCCGCCGAACCAAAAGGACTGCACACAGCACGCACCGAGCGCGCTGATCTTTTTGCTCGCTTGGCAGGACAGGAAAGAGGAACCCCCCAATCAGATCAGAGAAATCGACTACAACGTCGACGTGTTCATGCGCCCCCGCGCGCGAAAAAGGGGCAAATTTGAATGGGACTCAAGGCCCGTGGAAGTCTTGGAGCAAAGGGGACAGCAGGATTTGGAAAGTCTGTCTTTTTGGGCTCTCTGCCTCATGCGTTGTCCCGCTAAGATTGGAGATACTACAAAGTGCATCCAATATGCCGGCGCCGCTCGGATGAAATTTCAAGCCTTGCTCAGCACAGGCTCGTCGGCTGTTTCCAATTGAAGGCTGTCACCGTTCGACCTGGCCGATGCATTTGTTGGTTGTACTTGCGCTTTCCTTTTGAGTTACCAGACTGTTCAGCAAAATGTGTCATGTCTCGCGCTCAGCCTGAGGATCATTCTATCGCAGATTGGCGTCATAGTCCATCCGGACAACAACGACATTTGCATGGTCAAGCGGATTCGGGGCGGTGCCGCTTGATATCAACCCTGATGCAAAAGTTTCGCTCATCCTGTCTGCAAGACAAACAACGCAAACAATGCCCTGGAATCCAAAAGAACATGCTCTCGCACCAACTAACATGGAACCCGACGTTCGCGGGTCCTGGTTTGGGCCATTTTCCTTTTGAAGGTACCGGGCCCGGAACGTCGAACGGTTCCAGGTGAAATCGATGTCGGTTCAGCCGAGGTGCTCCTGAGAGAGAGCCACGACGGGAGGCCGTTGATTTGTCAGAGCCCGGGCTGCAAGCTGCAAGAAACTGGACAGAAGCTGGACAGAAAGATCTTGAAAGTTGGATTCATGTTTACAACCCGTAGTGTGCAAATAGGCGTGGGAAAAGTATGAGGTCAATATGACGGGTTTTGAAAGTTGGAGATGGATCTTTCGAGAATGTCCACCTCATAGTATATTGCGCACGGGGGATTCCGAATATGAGGTGAACATTAGTTCGAAATCATGTGCCAGTTGACCAATTGTGAGTGTGGGCTGAGCTTCCGCCTAAGCGCAGCTGAGGCTTCTTCTCTCGCCTTTCAACAGTGAGACGTTGGACAGGCGAGTGTTCGAACCACGGGGTCGGTTTCCCCCTTTGATTTCTCTTTCAAATCAAGGGGTCGGTTTCCCCCTTTGATTTCCCTTTCAATTCAACGCCACAAGGCCACTCTCAAGAAGAATGCCCAATGCTCCAAAGAGGTTTTGTGAGTTTCCACCAATTCAGGGCAGGACAGGAATTCCATTTAAGGCAGATCGTCCGGTTTGGTTTTGTTCAACCAAGCAAACCATACGCAAAACAAAACGCACAGTTTGGATGCTAAGCTCACACATACACACCTGCGCAATGAGCTATCAAACATCCCACAGGCACATGGTGTGTTGAGGACAGGGGGGGAATCCCAAGTGCAATCAGGTGTGAGATCCCAATCTGTGTATTTGCAATTGTGCGTTTGTACGTGCGTTTGTACGCGCGTGCGCGCGTGCATGTGCGTGCTTTCGTGTGCGTGCTTACGTGTGCGTGCTTACGCGCGCGGGTGTGTGTGTGTGTGTGTTCTTTTTTTTTTTTTTTGTGTGTGTGTGTGTGTGTGTCTGTGTCTGTGTTTGTGTCTGTGTCTGTGTCTGTGTCTGTGTCTGTGTCTGTGTCTGTGTCTGTGTCTGTGTGTGCGTGGGTGTGTGTGTGTGGGTGTGCGCGCGTGCGCGTGCGCGTGTGCGTGTGCGTTTGCGTGTGCGTGTGTTTGTGTGTGCGCGCGCGTATGATTGCATGATTGTCACCTTGCTTTTCCTTTTGTTTCTTTGTTGCGGCGTGGTTTTTGCCTTGGGCCAAGAAATTGTATGCACTTATATGCCCATCAGATTGTGAGGGTAGGCAGTTGCATCACAGCTTCATGGAACGGAAGGAAAAGTCAATGTTTGGAAGGGAAGTGAGGAGTGCGAGCCTTAAAAGCCAAGCGACTATGTATTCCCAGATCCGTGCACCATCCAGGAAACCGTGGTGTCTTAGATGATTGAACGATCCTCGTTTCATATCATTGCGGCAAGTCAACACTTGCCAGTGCAGACTGGCTTTGACAGGGACAGCGTAAGGGTCATATGATGATCATGCAAGGGTTCATTCAAATCAATGGGCAACCGCAGCTATCAAAGCTCTAATTCCAGCCTGCCGGCTGGCCAATAGGGACAGACTATGTGGCCATGAGTTTGAATGAGGACACTTTCTGGAGAGTGGTGGGTGGACATAAAACCCCACCTAAATGATGTTCATGAGAGGGTCCTCAATTCAAATTCATGCCCATTTGGGACGCCATGTGAGCCACAATCCAAATCCGTGTAGATGAAGGTTAGTAATGGGCAGTCCAAGCCAGAAATAGTTGCGGCCGCCTTCTTAATTCCTTGCATGGTTCTGGGTAGACCATGTTAGTACTGGGTTTTGATTGTGACTCATGTGTCAATCCTCCGTGTCAATGGGAAAAGCTTCAGCCGGGCGCCAGGTCGCTCCTAAACGCGGCCGTCAGCGAGGTGATGACCGCGCCGGAGACGCGCTGGAGCAAAAGCACCGCGGTGCGGGCCTTCTTCCGAAGCTCGGCGGCTCTGAGATCTCTTTTCTTTGGGATGGGCCCAAAAGGCTCGCCATGGAAAGCGCAGTCAAAAAGGATCCCAAGCACAACTTGCCGAGAGTCCTTCAATTGATGTGGGGCAAGGGATCCGAACTTCCGAATGTCTCAAGTAATTAGAACCCATCCGAACCCTGGGTGTCAGGCAGAAAAGTGAGCTGCGAGTCAGTGAGTCATGTTTACCTAGGAGAAGAAGCTGGTTGACTCTAAGGGCGTCTTTTCCCCTGGAAATCCTCCGGGACGGGTGATCCACCGCTGGGAAGAAGTCCGGTCGATCATATATCATGATGTGGCAGGGGCCCAGTTCGAAGGGGGAGCATCGGGAGGCCGTGACTTTCCTCTGCCCTGGTTCGCGGTTTGGGCACTTGATCACTTTGCAGAGGCAGACCTGCTCTCTCTATGAGCTTTCCGTGGGGCTTGTTTGCGAGAAAAGCCGCCCGTGTTTTTTTTTTTTCATGGGCTGCTTTGCGATGGCAGAGGCAGACCATCGCTTTGCCATATCGTGTTGCCACGTTGCCCGTGCCGCAAAACGCCCAGGCCGAGCCAGTTTGAAGGCTTCCAGGCGCGCTTGGCCTTTGCTTGCGGGCCCAAGGTCTTGGCAGAGCCCCCGCTTTTCGGTTGAAGAAGTTCAGGTAGCCCTGAAGGGTGGTTTGGATTGGTTTGGGTTTGGATTTGTACGGGTCCCTGGTTCTAGAGGGCAGATGGGAGCACCTCCAAATCACTGATTTGGCTCCAAACCACCAATTAGAGGGAAGCTGAAGAAGCGTGGAGTGTGAAAGTGGTGGGCTCAGCATGCCTGCTGGAGCAGTTGCAACTACCCGCAGACAACAGAGAATGGCACTGCGTTCTAGGTCAGTTGAAATGACTAAGGGGGAATTGAGCGACGATGCAAATATTCACAGAATTATTGTAAGGTGAGCGGCGAGCAATTATGAGGCCGTCTCTTTGTCCGCCTGCTGAGATCTCGCAAATGGAAGATTGATTCAAGTGCAGAGGCCAGGCTGGCCGTTCTCCCGGAATATCTGCCAGCATGAGTCAAGCTCGTTCGGGGTCCGGAGTTGCATTTTTCCTACGAGTTTCCAGCCCGGCCGTTTGGTATGGGCAGGTACCTCTCAATCGCTTTGGATTGCTGGTTTGGGGATTTTGAACCCTTGGCCTGATCGAGTGGAAACCACCTGTAACCTCCAACCCCTCAACACCCAATCACCAGAAACGTGGGTATGATTCTATGTCTTTTTCGAGTTGTTAAGAGAAACCCAAGGGCCAACCACCATTTTGAGGGGTTCATTTTAACCCCTGGGTAGAGAGCCGTCGCGCCCGTCAGGTACTACAGCCGGGCCCGCCGGCGGAAGCTGGCGGACCACTTGGAGCAGACCTGGCTGCAACGGCCCGTTTGCTCCACCGTGCCCCCACGGGTGTGGCAGAAGTATCTGCCGGGGGCCGAGGAGAGAAGGAGGGCGAGCTGAAGATCCATCGGCGCTTTTGAGGTTCTGACGCGTGTTGTGCTCATGGGTTTGGCAGGCAACATTGGGGTCTCAACATGTGTTTTGGAGCAAGGGTTTCCTTTTGGCTTTCCCTTTAAGACCAGCCAAAAGGTTCGAACGGGTTCACACGAGACACAAAAAAAATAGGGGACCGGGGCGACACCCTTTGGTTCGGTCACCAGTCGGGTGTTTCCGAGATCCGAAGGGGGCATCAGCCAGGCTTGGTGGTTTTTGGTGAGGGAAGCAGGATTGTCAAAGAGAGCTCAATTAGTTTTTATGGTACTGGTTGCTGTATATTTTGAATTGGCCGCAGATGCGCGCGAGAGCTTTTTTTGTGGCGCTTGCCCTCCACCCCGGGGGGCGGGCGAAATTTACTCAGGCAGAAGCGAAGCCTGCGCCCGCGGCTGCAGCTGCCTGCCAAGAACGAGGATGGATCCAAGGCGGGGGGTGGGTGGGGGGGGGGTGGGGGGGGGGTTTGGCCAGTCCTCACGTTCTCTCAGACATTCGCCGTGAAATGACGGCCTCCGAACATGATGGCCTCATTTTTGCTGGCCGGTGCTCACCTTCCGGCTGTTGGCAATGAACTGGTTTTGGGGATTCCCGAAGAAAGGAAGCCACCAGTTGGATGGTTCATAAGGGTCGTTCCATGTCTCATCCTCTGCCTATCGCACCTTTGTTTTTTGCCTCTGAAATTAGTCTGCAGGATTGATGCGCTGTGAGCTGCCAGGTTGCTCGTGGTGAAGGAGCCGGGCATCACTTGCTGTACTGCGGGCGCAGCTTGAGTTAAGCGAGATGTGGCTGCCACCGCTCCCTTTGTGTTGTGGCTTTCTTTTGATGTTCTATTTCCTTTCACCCGGCAATACGGAATATAACTTCTGCACTCTTGAGCTTTGTGCTTGGTCTCCTTTGTGGTTTCTGGCTTCCCTGCAGATATCGACGTGGGCCCCTTTGTTTGGGACCTGAGTTCCCACTTCAGGTAGTGGAACGGTGGAGCAAGAAGCAGAAGACTCCGGCGCGCCCGCCTGCGTGTGGTGCTGTGGCGCCGTGGATGTGATCTAAACGTGCTGCACGCGTGGGCTCGTCGTCGTCTTTGTTTTTGGCGCTCACATGAAACCACGACCCCCGTGGTGGGATCACGGAAGGGGTTTCTCGGCTTATCCAAACACAGAAGTGGGCATGTCCCACAGCCCTGCCCCAACTTGGACAAATCGGCGGGGACTTTTCCGCCCAGCTTTGCTTGACCGCGCCTCGCATAAAATTTTCTGTTCGTTCCCGTTGACTTCGCTTCGCTTGGATTGACCCGTTTGTAGGGCCGAGTTCGTTGAGTTTCAACCTGACCCCGAGGTTGGAGGAGCTTTTTGTTGTTGCCCATTTTTTGAAGCGAGCGAGCTCTGGGGTTTGTATAAACCACGAGTTCACCTGGGCCCTTTACTTGGGGAGCCAATTCTTAGTTTTCAGGTTTTGGGCGCCTTGTTTAAAGATCGCAGATGGCTTTTTCCTTCCACGGGGCCTGGGATTGTTTTTTCTTCCCCCGGATCATCACTTCTTCGAACATCAATGCGGGCGCTGCCCCGCAGCCCCCCCCCCCAACCCCCCCGCTACTTTTTAGATTTGCAGAGATTGAACTGCGCCCCTATTTGAATCATCACTTCTTCTTCCCCCTCCACGGTCCTTCCGCCGCGTTTCGAGGCGCTTCCGGGGCCCGTGGCGCCTGCGGGCCGCTGGAAGGCCGGCCGCTTCGCGGGGAAAGTTGCGCTGGTATGGGCCATGGCTTTGCCATGGCTAGTGATGGGGGGGGCGGTCCGAGCCAACGAGTGTGCCTTTGGCTGTCCTTTGGCAGTGGGAAAGGTGGGTTGGCAGTTGGCAAAGGTCTGGAGAACTTGAAGCTGCAGCAACGAGCTTGGAGCTGGGATGGCGAGGATCCACTGAGAGACGTTTTTTGAACATGGGAGCGCTGGAGCAGATTTCGTCAGATTGTGGCTGTGGGTCAAGAATGGGTCACCCCAAAATGGTGTTGCCCTGGAAACTGGAACCAAGGACTAAAGCCTGCGGTCCGATTGGTTACATTTTGACCCGTCCCAGGCAGTCTTTGGCTCGACCCGTCAGTCTTTGGCTTCCGCTTCTTAGGGCCCGAAGTCCTTCAAAATGGGGGACTTCTTGGGGCTGCGAAAGCATTGGGAGCGAGAGAAGTTGCCGCGAACGCCAGGTCGGCAATGCCAGGCGTGTCTTCGTGGTCAATGGGTCTTTGCCTCTGATGATCCAGAGCCGCCAGTGGCCTTTGCCGAGGAGGGACGGAGTGGATTTGAGCCACTTGCTCAAAACCAAAACCCGGGTAGGTGAAGGTTAGTAAGGGACAATCTCGGTTTTTCCTTACATGGTTAGGGGTCAACCATTTCAATACCGGGTTTGGATTGTGACTCATTTGAGGCTTGAGGCTATTGCGAAAGGTCTCCCGTGGGTCCGTGGGTGGAAGTTTCCATGTTGGGGAGTGCTCTAGCCAAGGGGTGACAATGCTGGACTGCCATTTCTGGGGTCGAGTTTGCAGAGTAGGAAGGGACGCTGTTGTGCAGTTCAAACCCCGTAGCACTGGGGAACTTGGGCGAATCATCATGTTCTCAGGCAAGAAGTCCACCAGATTTTGATAGTTGATGGTTGAAGCGCTCACCAATCAGCGAGTGAGCTGTACGGATTGAACTGGGGGGGGGTTTAACATTAAGCAAATGGATCCACGGTCGGAATTTGTCTGTGGGAAGCCTATTTGCACAAAGGGCCCAACGGATACTCTTGCTGGTAGCCTATGTTTGATCATGGGAGGACAAGTGAGGGACTACCCTTACAAACCATGTCGACTCTCTTTCCAAGGAGCCAAGAGCATGAGGGTGTTGCTGGTGGGCAACATATCCAGAGACACAACATGATCCAAGAACAAGCCAAGGGGGAATACTGCACTCCCTCCCCCAATTTGCCTCTGTGAATGGAACCAAGTCTTCCAAACAGTCCTGGGAGCTTTCCTGCCTAGTTGCAAGATCCGGACCCGGTTCCATGGATGCTTGTTCCCTTTGTTTCTGGAGGGCGTCTTGCTCCAAAAAATAAGAAACCACAAAATGGGAGAAAGGGGCGCACACGGGAATCCGTGCTTGGATCCGCCAGAGGCCAAACCACAGGTGTCCTTTTTGGTTGCTTTGGTCGAAAAATAGAGGGCGATTCCTGGTTTACCTGGTAGTTCAATCATCTACCAGGGAAACCCATCTATTTGTGCAAAAAGGACACCTATGTGGCGATGGGTCAAACCTTTAGTGAACATCCCAATCCCCCCTAAACGCCCCTAAACGCCCCTAAACCCCCCTAAACCCCCCTAAACGCCCCTAAACCCCGCTAAACCCCCCTAAACGCCCCTAAACCCCGCTAAAACCCCCCTAAACCCCCACTAAAATAGACCAACTGGGTGGTGAATTCACCTACCAACCAAAATGGGATATCCCAAAACGGTTGTGACCACCGCCAAATGGGAGAAAGGGTCGCATGGGACTCCACGCTGGGACTCCGCTCGAGGCCAAAACAAAAAGCGCGGGATCCGATCCGGCCGAGCGGATCCGCAGGACGTGCTGCGCATCGTGCCCGTGAAAGACGACCGGGTGCTCCCGGAGGAGCTGGTCACGAGCCTTTTGGACACAGGCGCCGCGCCTGGTTGGGGGGTTTGGGGGGTTGGGGGGTTGGCGTGCCAGGGTCTTCGGGCCTTTTGCGGGTGCTTGTGGGGGGGCTTTGGGTTGAGACGTGCAAGGGGGGGTTGTTGTCCTTTAAAAATTAAATAAAACTGTTTTTCTTTTTTTCGGGCCTTTAAAAGCGGTGCTTTTGGGGGGCTTCGGGGTTGGTCTGTGCCTTTGGGGGGCGAAGAGGCTGTTCCACTTGAGGATCCCTTCAGGTGGCCTATGCATTTGCAGTCAAGGGCCACGGAGGGAAGCATAGTTTAGTTATCATACACGACCTGTCAGGACTTCTTTTGGTTGAACCCCCTGTGCTGGCTCCTTCCTTGTGTTTCCTGATGTTTGTTTCCCTCCAGATGCGGTCAACAAAAGTACCCCACTTCTTGACATTCCTAAAGTGGGGCGGCGGGCGGCTTGCTCTTCGCCGTTTCTTTACTTGGACGATGTCCTGCTTGTTCACCGACATGGGTAGCTTCTTGTTCACCGGCACAGCAAAAGAAAAAGGCGCCCTTGAAGTGGCTTGCCTTCAGGTGAAAAGCAATCCCAGCATAGGTCTCCTTTTTGCTTACAAACTAGAGGGCGATTCCTGGTTTAGGGGTTTATTCCATTTACCAGGGCGATCGATTTTTCAAAAGGCCACCTATGAAGCCAAGGGGCTCGGATCCTTGCGGATGTTCATGTGGGTTCTCAAAATAGTGGCCCATGTCCTCAAGCGGCTTCCCGGTGTCCTGGTTTCCTGTGGGTTTTCCCTTGACATACGGGAAACCGACCCAAAACGGGGTCTCGCCATGTTGAGACCCCCCCACCTCGCTCCGCGTCTCGCTCGCTTCCGGCTAGGCCTCTGGGTGCAGCTGGACATCAAGGCCGGGATCCCCCACCATCGGCGCGAGGTCCTGAGGCCCGCGCGGAGAGGAGAACGCGTGCATGCCACCATCTGAGTCGGGGCCCGGAGCCCGGATCCCGGATCGACGCACAAGAAGGGGGTCATGTGGGTTTCGGAAACTTCAAGAAGAAACTTTGCGCCATCTAAAAAGAATCACATAGTTCTCGTTTTGCGGCTCGCTCAAGTTTGTGCTGAAGCCTTGCCGGCCCCCGCCTTGCGGTCGTCCGCTCATCCTTTCTGTTCAACGGTTGCAGCGAATGCTGTCGCCGATGGGCAGAATTCGCGGGGCGGTTTCATTCCCCGCAGATGTGCTCGCGCTTGCCGGTTTCATGGCGGGGAGCTTTGGATACGGATCGAGGCGACTCTTGAGTGGACTTGCTCCACCCCTTTGCCGACCAACGGCCGCTTGCTGGAGGAGCTTTTAAAGGGCCTCCTGAAAAAGCCGACGGCTGCCCCGACGTCTCCGGGCAAAACAATCGCGGACGTCCGCAGTGGGAGAGGCAAACGCCTTGGGAGTGATGCCAAGCAACGCCGGAGATAGGAGAGGTACGTCAAAAGTTGCTCATGTGACTCATTTGATGTTTTGAAAGATATCATTTGCTTTGAAAACAGATCTGATTTGATACCCCCTCATTTGGTTTGAAAACCCCCTTACGCCGCGCGTTGATTGCCAGGTCCGATGGCGTTCCCACAGCGGTCTGTTGGACAGCTCTGGGCTCGTTTTACTTCGCCAGCCGTTCAGCGAATCGACCGAGCACAATGACAACTTTGGGTTTCCCCAACTGTTTCGACCTTTTTGCCCCCAAGAAGCTGTTTTTAGTGGTCTAGGTTTTTCAACGTTTGGTATTCTTGTCCCGGGTTTGCCTCCTGGTTTGCTTTCGGGTTTCTATTTTTAGCAAGCTGAAACGAAAAGGACACCGTTGGACACATGTTAGGGGCCAATTTGGAGAAGCTCCGATTTGCTTCTTGTGTTGACCGCTGACTCTTCAGCCCCTGTTCATTGATCTGGGCGTGGTTTTTGGGCCCTCCAAAAGCGGTCTGAAGCCCTAAAACCAGGTTGACACCCCTACCCCCTACTCAAAATACCCGGGTATTTTCCAGGGTATTTTGGGGCAGCCTGGCTTTCCCATGGTAAATACCTCCTTTGGGGGTCGGCGGATCCTGGCGTGCTTCCGCGGCCCCCTGCCTCCTTGAGGCCGCTGTGCCGCTGGCATTTGCTGCTCCGGCAGCGCCAGCGCGAAAGGCGGGGGGTTGAGCCAAAGACAGACGCGCGGGCGAGATCTTTTGTGGTGCCGTGGCATGGAAGTTGTGGGTGATGACAAGAAAAAACACCTGCAGAGTTGTGGGTGATGTTTTTTGGTGCCGTGAGGTGGAAGGATTCTTTTGCAGGTAGGAGTCTGCGCTTGCAAACTTGCGCTTGCAAACTTGCGCTTGCAAACTTGCGCTTGCAAACTTGCGCTTGCAAACTTGCGCATGATACTTCAATCCGTGAAGCTGTCATTGCGCGAAACTGGCGAGTCGGGCAATGCACTCTGCTGCGTGCGTGAGATGCTCCACCGGAGCTGGGTGCGTGTCAGCATGAGTTGATGTGGAAGGAATTCCTGTGGGTGGCCTCACCACTTTTGCCGAGACGAGAAGCAAGCACAGAGAAGCACGGTCAAAAGGAGAAAACGCATTGCTGTCACAGAGGGCTTGATCTTGACTTTGACGCAGGAAGGAATGCCTTTTGGGTTTGCTGGTTCCTTCTACGCCAAATATCAGTGCATGCTCTTGGCATCGGTTGGTATGTGGCATTTGCTTTAGCGCAAGTGCTCTCGCCATAGCTGGGTTGGGCAAACCCGGGGCCTGGCGGGTTCCCAACAGACACCTCTGTCACGTGGTAGCTTCCTGGGCCTCAGGGAATGCGGAGGACCCCATCGCTTTCCTTTGAGATCTTAGCTCAGGATCCTGCCCTTTCTCGAACCCCTTTTTTGGTTGGAAGGGCTCCCCTACTAAAATAGACGACAGGAAAAAAGTGGTACCAACTTATTCTAACCTCTCTACTGGAGGACCTCTCTGCTCCCTTGGGAATGAACCCGAGGCCAAGATAGAGACGGAGATGGGGAATGAATCCAAGGCCAATCAAAGATAGTGACAACCTCAGGGTTCGACTTTCTGACTATCCCCGGGAAGACATAAACCCAGGGATGGTTCATTACCCCCAAAAGGAAAAGGACAAGTCTATGGCTGTGGATCAGAAAAATGTCACCCAAAATGGCACCTTGGTAAATAGAACCAACGAGTAAAACCTGCGTGCTGCCCCTGCTGCTCAATTTTGAGCCACGCCCCTATCTTGGCTCAGTTGTTCAGTGGCGCTTCTTTCCCCTTTTTTTTGGTGGCTGCCCCACTAACAACTGAACAGCTGCAGTCGAAAAAAGTGGAGCCCTGGAGACCACAAAAAGCCCCGATCCGCGAGGGGGCCGCGTCTTCGTGGCGGGGGGCTTCAACTTCTCGGAGGAGGAGCCCCTCGGCAGCTGCGAGGCATGGGGCTGGCGGCTGGGCGGAAAGCGATGGGTTGACACCAGGTGAGCCGCTTGCTCAGAACCCGGGTAGAAGGTCAGTAAGGGACGATCCCCTGGCCATTTTCTTGCCGATCTCCGCCTGCTTAGTTCTTGAAGCGTGGTTCTGGGATTATGACCATTGTGGTACCGGGGTTTTGATTGTGACTCAGATGAACCTTGGGGAGCATGAATCGAAAGAAGTCGGACATGTCGACCTTCGCAATTCCAACGTCGTGTTCCTTCACCCGTTCGGAGCGGGCTGAACTTTGGACCTGAATTCTCGATATCACCGCCGCATGATCTCAGCTTCCCATCGGACCTGGAGGGCTGGCCACGAATCCAAACCGCGGGAGATGGAGACTCCACGCGTACGGGCTGACACTGCGATGGGCCGAGCCATTTACTTATGGCAGAAACATAGCGTAAGGGGCATCTCGAAATGGGGGTTGATCAAAAGGTCCCGACCATTACTAAAACGATTCGATCTGACTTTCTCAACCCCCAAATGCATGACTCGGACCAGCCAACCGGTGTTTCTAGAGGAACGGACTCCAGTGGCCAGGCCATCGACGTGGCGGACCTCCTATCAGGGCAGCCGGTCGTTCAGGCGAGGCGGTTGGGAGGTTCAGCTGTGGCGAGACCTTGCGCGCGCCAGAGGATAAGTTTTTGGGTTTTGGGACCACCGAGCCATGCCCGATTTCCTGGACGCCCCCTTGCCGTGAAAGGCCGCCGAAAAACGTGGCGGACAGTTCCCATGTGACTCCGTGTTTCTCCCGGGCGAGGCGTCTGATTTCTGTTCTTCTCCGAAGCCGGACACCTCCCTCTCCTCAAATGAGCCACAATCAAAACCCGGGCAGATGAAGGTCAAGGGACGATCCCCTGGCCATAGCTGCGGATCTCCGCCTTAATCCTCGAAGCGTTCTGCGACGACCATTTTGGTACCGAATCGGTTTTGAGAAAGCGCCTCAAAATGTGCCAGGAGTGCCCATTCTTGCAGCATCCCCGGGCGCGGGCCCCAGAAAGCGGCAAGCCGGTGGGCAGTGCCAGATTCGAAGGCTCGTGGCTTTGGAGCGCCTTTGAGCACCCACTCCAAATACCCGCGTTTTGTCAAGGGTATTTTTTTCTTGAAAAACCCGGGTTTCCATGGTAAATACCTCCTTTTTTAGTAGAGGGTCGACATCATACTGTAAAATAGTGGGTATTGGATGTAAGGGGTGGGCAGTTTTGTTTTGTGTACTCAGTCCAAATCGGGTTGCTTGTTGGCAGGTCGTGCAACTTGGGTGAGTTGCACTTTTAGAAGTTCCTACCCGCCCTCGTGGGCTGTTGCCCCTTGAGTTTGGGAGCCTTTTTTTTATATGTAAATATTTAATATTATATACATATATATATATATATATATGTATTTAATATGACACCTGTTGTTGCCGTAGGTGTTTCCTGAGAACGCAAGACGATGGAGGGCAGAGAGAGATGACCTCCAAGTCATGACCTCACACGTTGCTCCACCTCCAAGAGGGTCAGACGCTTTTGGAGTATGTGGCTGGCTGTGGTTGTCAAGACCGTTTTGGGATATCCCATTTTGGTTGGTAGGTGAATTCACCACCCATTTTAGAAACCTATTTTAGTGGTTGGATTGGGGTGTTCACTGGGGGTACGGGATTTGGACCCATGGTCATGTACATCGAGCATGCTCGTATCAATGCATGTTGCCCTCCAATGTCGTTATATGTCATGTATGGATGCGCGGGCGTGCGTGTTTTGGTTTCCAGGCCTTGCTCGGTCCTCATATAAGTTTTGCTTCGAATGTTTGACCGTTGGCAATGTGTGGTGTGGCCCACTCCCAACAGCGCATTTGCAAGATGTGACGGGCCACTGGGTGCGCGTTGGGTCGATTTCTTGGGTCCAGCGGGCCCCCGAGAAATTCACCTCCTCGCGGCTTTTTCCGCGCGTGTCTTGGTGGCCTTTCGCACGAAAAGGGACGGCGCCTGAGGCTTGTCCGGGTCTGGCTGCCGCGTCCGAGGACCGGGATGCTGAATGGTCGAAGCTTCGCAGGGCTGATCATGACGATGATGAGGATGATGATGATGAGGAGGAGGAGGATGAGGAGGTGGATGATGATGAGGAGGAGGAGGATTTGTGATGATACTCATAAATATGAATAAACCATGCTGGTGAACCATTCTGATGTTAAGAAGCCTTGTGTGTAGATTTGGGAGTCATGGTTCATGCCACAGAAAGACTTGCATTGGCCATAGCCACATTCTTTTGGTACCCTAGAAATCGAGCGACAGGTGCGGGTAAAAGTTCAAGGCACATGTGGCCTTGTCTTTTTTTGAAAAACCCTTAGTCCTTCTTGGTTGGTTTTAAAGGAAACCAGTCCCCTAAAAAAGGGACAGACCCATGTAGACAATAACCATGGGGATTTGGAGCGTCGATCTAACCCTTTTACAAGGACAAAAGCTGTTCCATCGTAACAGGGTCACAGTCAGATCAAGAGTATGGGTGGCTCGTCTTTTGTAGAAGGCCCCCAAAAGTCCTTTAGCTCCACAAAAGAAGGGGTACACTCAAAAAAAGACACCC